TTATTTATTTGAAGATTATTTATTTGAAGATTGTTTATTTGAAGATTGTTTATTTAAAGATTATTTATTTGAAGATTATTTATTTGAAGATTGTTTATTTGAAGATTATTTATTTGAAGGTTATTTATTTGAAGGTTTGTTATTTGAAGATAATTTATTTGAAGGTTATTTATTTGAAGGTTATTTATTTGAAGGTTATTTATTTGAAGATTATTTATTTGAAGGTTATTTATTTGAAGGGTATTTATTTGAAGATTATTTATTTGAAGATTATTTATTTTAAGATTGTTTATTTGAAGATTGTTTACCTGAAGATTATTTATTTTAAGATTGTTTATTTTAAGATTGTTTATTTGAAGATTGTTTATTTGAAGATTGTTTATTTGAAGATTGTTTACTTGAAGATTATTTTTTTTTAAGATTGTTTATTTGAAGATTGTTTATTTGCAGATTGTTTATTTGAATATTGTTTATTTGAATGTTGTTTATTTGAAGATTGTTTATTTGAAAATTATTTATTTATAGATTATCAAATTAAAGACTAGTTATTTAAAGATTAATATAAAAACAGAATACCATTCGCAACCGTGAATATATGACTTTAATATCAGTAAATAATAATAATGATATTTGGAGTTTGAATAATACTGACAACCCTCCCTCACACACCCCTCCCTCACACACCCCTCCCTCACACACCCCTCCCTCACACACCCTTCCCTCACACACCCCTCACAGTCTGTGAGAGCTTCTCGTGTTTATTAATGAATGGGATGAAGGCTGGTAAAATTAGTCAAGTAAATTAGAGGCTCAATTAGACGCTCATTAGTCCGGCGACGCGACAACTTGCGGCCGATTTTTGCGCGCCCAACTTTAGTCGTGGTCTCGAACTAGACCTTACTAGACCTTAGCTAGGACTAGACCCTTTAGTTAGGACTAGACCCTTTAGCTAGGCCTAGACCCTTTAGTTAAGACTAGACCCTTTAGCTAGGACTAGACCCTTTAGCTAGGCCTAGCCCTTTTAGCTAGGCCTAGACCTTTTAGCTAGGCCTGGACCCTTTAGCTAGGCCTAGACCCTTTAGCTAGGAGTAGACCCTTTAACTAGGACTAGATCCTTAGCTAGGACTAGACCCTTTAGCTAGGACTAGACCCTTTAGCTAGGCCTAGACCCTTTAGCTAGGAGTAGACCCTTTAGTAGACCCTTTAGCTAGGACTAGATCCTTAGCTAGGACTAGACCCTTTAGCTAGGACTAGACCCTTTAGCTAGGCCTAGACCCTCTAGCTAGGCCTAGACCCTTTAGCTAGGAGTAGACCCGTTAGCTAGGATTAGATCCTTTAGCTAGGACTAGATCCTTTAGCTAGGACTAGACCCTTTAGCTAAGACTAGACCCTTTAGCTAAGCCTAGACCCTTTAGCTAGGACTAGATCCTTTAGCTAGGACTAGACCCTTTAGCTAGACCTAGACCTTTTAGCTAGGCCTAGACCCTTTAGCTAGGAGACCCTTTAGCTAGGACTAGATCCTTTAGCTAGGACTAGACCCTTTAGCTAGACCTAGACCTTTTAGCTAGGCCTAGACCCTTTAGCTAGGAGTAGACCCTTTAGCTAGGACTAGATCCTTTAGCTAGGACTAGACCCTTTAGCTAAGACTAGACCCTTTAGCTAGGCCTACACCCTTTAGCTAGGCCTAGACCCTTTAGCTAGGCCTAGCATGCTAAGAGCAAGTAACAGTAAGAGTAGCATGTAACATGTAATAACATGCAACTAGTAGCATCATGTAACTAAAATCTCCCACCCACAGGCCCCCATGACTCACGCACAACCCTCAGGGGGGCGGACTGTTCCTCCTTCCTAAAGTCCGGGTGGTCGCTGATGACCTCGCAGCGGTAGAGTCCTGACGTGGCCGCCGACACGCTCGACAGCACCAGCTCCCTGTCGCTCGACCCGTAGCACTGCAATGGGCGCATGGGACCTGGGCTGCGGGCTTATATACCCGCGCCAGGGAGGAGGGGGGTGGGAGGTGTTTGTTGAGGGTAGGTCACTTGTATATGCTTAAGAGAACAGGCTGGTGTGTGTGTTTCTGAGGGTATGTTACTTGTATATGCTTATGAGGACAGAATACTATGTGTGTGTGTAGCTGAGGGTAGATTACTTGTATATGCTTATGAGGACAGAATACTATGTGTTTGTGTAGCTGAGGGTAGATTACTTGTATATGCTTATGAGGACAGAATACTATGTGTGTGTGTAGCTGAGGGTAGGTTACTTGTANGGGTTGCTGGGGTTGCTGGGGTTGCTGGGGTTGCTGGGGTTGCTGGGGTTGCTGGGGTTGCTGGGGTTGCTGGGGTTGCTGGGGTTGCTGGGGTTGCTGGGGTTGCTGGGGTTGCTGGGGTTGCTGGGGTTGCTGGGGTTGCTGGGGTTGCTGGGGTTGCTGGGGTTGCTGGGGTTGCTGGGGTTGCTGGGGTTGCTGGGGTTGCTGGGGTTGCTGGGGTTGCTGGGGTTGCTGGGGTTGCTGGGGTTGCTGGGGTTGCTGGGGTTGCTGGGGTTGCTGGGGTTGCTGGGGTTGCTGGGGTTGCTGGGGTTGCTGGGGTTGCTGGGGTTGCTGGGGTTGCTGGGGTTGCTGGGGTTGCTGGGGTTGCTGGGGTTGCTGGGGTTGCTGGGGTTGCTGGGGTTGCTGGGGTTGCTGGGGTTGCTGGGGTTGCTGGGGTTGCTGGGGTTGCTGGGGTTGCTGGGGTTGCTGGGGTTGCTGGGGTTGCTGGGGTTGCTGGGGTTGCTGGGGTTGCTGGGGTTGCTGGGGTTGCTGGGGTTGCTGGGGTTGCTGGGGTTGCTGGGGTTGCTGGGGTTGCTGGGGTTGCTGGGGTTGCTGGGGTTGCTGGGGTTGCTGGGGTTGCTGGGGTTGCTGGGGTTGCTGGGGTTGCTGGGGTTGCTGGGGTTGCTGGGGTTGCTGGGGTTGCTGGGGTTGCTGGGGTTGCTGGGGTTGCTGGGGTTGCTGGGGTTGCTGGGGTTGCTGGGGTTGCTGGGGTTGCTGGGGTTGCTGGGGTTGCTGGGGTTGCTGGGGTTGCTGGGGTTGCTGGGGTTGCTGGGGTTGCTGGGGTTGCTGGGGTTGCTGGGGTTGCTGGGGTTGCTGGGGTTGCTGGGGTTGCTGGGGTTGCTGAGGTTGCTGGGGTTGCTGGGGTTGCTGGGGCTGCTGGCCCAAAGTTTTCCCCCACAGAGAAAACTATATGCAACGATGTCCCTCGCCGCCGGGGCTAGGTTATACAAACATGAATAAATGTCCACAATGAATAAATGAAACCATGAATAATTGTCAGCAATTAAGTAAAGTGTGTATGTGTATTCCACACAGAAACACAGAGCAAACAACACAACACAGACGACACAGGAGATACCGCGCGGTGCTACGGCCATGCATAATAGAACAAGAGCTTTACCCTCAGTTGCCCTCACCTTACCCTCACGCTCACTGCGCCACTTATGCTGCCACTGCGCCACTTATGCTGCCACTGCGCCACTTATGCTGCCACTGCGCCACTTATGCTGCCACTGTGCCACTTATGCTGCCACTGTGNATTGGGATGAAGGATAAGAGGGATTGGGATGAAGGATAAGAGGGATTGGGATGAAGGATAAGAGGGATTGGGATGAAGGATAAGAGAGATTGGGATGAAGGATAAGAGAGATTGGGATTAAGGAATATTGTGATAAATAACACAGGAGAACGTAAGGGCGAGCAATAATTTGTGGAATTGTAAACTTTACACAAAAAATTAGTGAAAAGCTCACGAAATTTTTCGCGATGGAAGCAGGGATGAAAGTGACGGAATGATGGAAGGAGAGGGAACGAGGGAAGTAGAGGTAGAAAAGATTGGAGGAAAGGAATGAAAGGATTGGAGGAAAATAAGGGAAGTATTGGAGAAAAAGATTGGAGGAAAGGCAGAAAAGGATTGACGAATGTATTGAAGAAAAAGGGCAGTTTGAAGTAATTGATCGGAGAATAAAATTTAGTTTTCGACTCCGTAGGTCTAAAGTTAATTTAAAATGAGAAAATTCATTTTCTATTTGAAACAAGAATCTATTGAGAGTTCTATCTTCAATGTTAAATGTGGGTGTGAACGGTTTTTAGCGCATTTTCTCATTTATGGAAAAAATGCACTATTGTGCTCGTCATGTCCGTCCGTCTGTCCTTCCGTCCGTCCGTCTGTTCGTCTGTCTGTCCGTCCGTCCGTCCGTGACTTCACGTTTTCGTCGGCGGGAAAATGCGCTCTCTGTCACTCACTGCAGTGAGTACTGCGTTATATTTTTTATTCAATTAGCATTACCTTTGTCATTATTAACAAGATTATAAATAACATGATTCATATATTAGATGGATTATTAAGCCTTGCAACGCGAAGATAATCAGCTTGTTAATCATGCATGTTAACAATTCATGACAATTCAAGTGTATAGAGCTACATGCGCTGTTCAGATCTGGCTGATATTAATAAATTTGAACGTTTCTATAATCCTAAGTCAACAGAACTTCTAGCCAAAGCTATAATTTTATCAACTATTTCGGTCACAGAAACCTCGCTCATATCGGCCGGAAATGCACAGCTGAATGAGGTGGATGCGCAAGTGGGTTTCTAGAACGACTCAGTGAAAGTGGATACAGAATCCATCCATGAATCTTTCAACGTAATTAAATAAGTTCGCTGCTTAATAAGCAATTACATTAATAGTGAACACAATTCAAATGTTCATACGGAATTATTTTCAAATCTTAAGAACACAATTTGCGGAAATAGACATTCTCCTGAGCAGACGGTCCAACTAAATAGGATCTGTTTCAAATACGAAAATATCTTCATAAAAAATCGCACTATGTGTTAATCATCATTAAATATTATCAAAACTCAAATATTGCTATTCACAACTTAGAATGTGCTTTTGTAGGGTACATTTTTGTGAGTATATACTGCCGACTGTAAAGCTCTGCTCTGTACGCCGCCTCCAAGGCTGGAGCTAACCACACCCACGGGACTAAGTGGGTCAAAATAACTCACTTAGATCGGCCCACGACGTGTACATTGTATTAAGCGCGTCGTCTTCTTGGCCAACTTCTGTTGACTTACTTTACTTATATATTTATTCAGTGAAGAATAAATAAATACTTATTTATTCGGTAAGTGAGAAATAAATAAATAAATATTTATTTATTCGGTAAGTGAGATATAAAAAAATAAATATTTATTTAATCTGTTAGGTATAAATAAATATCTATTTATTCTGTAACTGAGGTATAAATAATATTTATTTTTTCTGTAAGTGAGACGTAAAATAAATATTTATTTATTCTGTGTGTGAGAAGTAAAATACATATTTATTTATTCTGTAAGTGAGAAATAAATATATATTTATTTATTTTGTAACTGAGGTAATTGTGGTATATTGATACGAGAAGCGCAATAATAGCGAGTCAGGCAATGTTCAGTTATTTGTTCAATTAAATTTATTACAAATTATTTGGTAAAAAATCGAGTTAACGAAACGAGTTGAAAATTTTCTTCTAATAAAGAAAAAAAATAAAATTGAAATTTATTGATAAAAAATACACAGAGGAGCAAGTTACAGAGATGTGTGGTGTTTTAATAAGATACACTAAAATTATTGATTAAGATTGAACGATTGAATAATAATTAACTATTTTTATAAGAAATTTTAGCTCTTCCATGCCAGAACACTCAGAGATTTAATTGGGTCACAAGACCCACTGGTATGCAAGAAAACAAAATTGGTAAAAAATGTAAATGAACAGCTTGTTTTTTAACAAAATAATATACGATTAAAAATGACTTTTTAAAGAAAACACTTCTAATGAATACATGCAGTGTCTCCGATGTTACACATCTACAATAAATTTCTAATTTTATTTCCATATATTAAGAAAATTTCTTTTTACTTTTGTTTGTGTTAAAAAACTAAATTTTCCAAATTATTTATTGTGTCAATTGATTCATGCATTGTCTCTGACTTTACCTATAAATGTGCAAAATTTCAGATCGATTAGACGTGTAGAAGTGTGTTAAATATCGATTATAAGATTTGTAGCAGACAAACAAACAAACAAACAAGAACAAGTGAAATTAAAGAGAAGTGTTGTAATAAAAAAAAAACAGAATACAACTGAAACACAAAATTTCTATCACAGATACGGCGACTCAGAGACAGCGCGTATCACAGATACGGCGACTCAGAGACAGCGCGTATCACAGATACGGCGACTCAGAGACAGCGCGTATCACAGATTCGGCGACTCAAAGACAGCGCGTATCACAGATACGGCGACTCAGAGACAGCGCGTATCACAGATTCGGCAACTCAGAGACGCAGAATCTCTTCGTCAGAGACCGTCAACTTGCCAGAATTGCTGCAAAAAATGGCAAACGAGATGGCAACATGTGAGCAAGACTGCAAAGGCAATAAAATGGGCGTACAGACGGCGGTCTACATAGACCGGGACTCTGGAAATGAACAAACGCTTCTTTTACGAGTCAAGTTAGTGAGCTAACTTTGCTTGTCTTTAGCTCTTTCTTTTCCTTCTTTTCTTTCTTTTCCCCGAGAACCCATTTTGATCTTAATTGCTTACTTGACAATCCAAGATTTATGTCATTTCTGTGTTTATGTTATGTTATTTTACAAGATTTATGTTTATTTTTTGTTTTATTGATACTGGATTTATGTCAACGGATATACAGGATTTACATGAATTTTATTCCTTTTGAATAAATTAATAATCGTTTGTTTCACTGCACAGGTTAAGTTGCACCTAGAACAACTGATTAAAAAAAATCGCTCCCGCCTCTCTAAGGTCGAAGGAAAATGATCAGAAAAACTGATCTCTCTTTCATACCTTTCCCTCATCCTTTCCCTCATCCTTTCCCTCATCCTTTCCCTCACCCTTTCCCTCGGATCCCTTCACACTTGACCCAACAAAGCCAAAAAACACTTCCGTTTTTTATGCGTTTCATGAACGTTTTAACGTTGGCCGGATAAGACGCGGCCCTATTTTTTAGCCGGGCAAGATTTTCGCAGCAAATTACTTCCCTCACTTCCCCTCACTTCCCCTCACTTCCCCTCACTTCCCCACACTTCCCCTCACTTCCCCTCGTGATCCAAGTGTCCGCGACTGCGATTCGAAAAGTTGAAGTTTGAGCAAATGCAAAAGGCGGCACGGCAGCCAACTTAGGCACTTGCTTGTCTTCTTTTGAAAGCGAGGCGAGTGACAACTTGCTTAGTGAGCAGTAAACTGACTTGCTTAGTGAGCAGTAAACTGACTTGCTTAGTGAGCAGGAAACTGACTTGCTTAGTGAGCAGTAAACTGACTTGCTTAGTGAGCAGTAAACTGACTTGCTTAGTGAGCAGTAAACTGACTTGCTTAGTGAGCAGTAAACTGACTTGCTTAGTGAGCAGTAAACTGACTTGCTTAGTGAGCAGTAAACTTATTTAACTCCTGCTCGCACTGCTACTGCTTGCTGCAGTTTGTACATTACTTTCTACTTACTAACAACTGTTACGTATTCATCTAATACAACTTAGAGAAAGTTTCATCTAATGCAACCTTTTATTCATTTAATACAAACTTTAAAATTAAGCTTATACAGTAAGGTATATTTCATAGTTCCTGAGGAGTGGTCCTGTGTTAATTGCGGCAGTAGCTCTTGTATTAATTCAGAGTGTTTTTGCGTCAATTGTAATGTACGGGTGGACACACAGCTGTGTATCTGTACACCTTTGTCTGTATATTTCTCTATAAAAACGTATCTGTATATTTCTGTGTACTCACGTCCAGGGACACTCCAGGCAGAGACACCTGCGGAGGACACACACCTGTGTGGGCGGTGGCGGGCACGTATCTGTATATTTCTGTGTACTCACGTCCAGAGACACTCCAGGCAGAGACGCCTGCGGAGGACACACAGCTGTGTGGGCCGTGGCGGGCACGTATCTGTATATTTCTGTGTCGTCTTTGTACCACTTGAGGGAGTAGAGCTTGGAGCCTCCCACGGCCTCGTCGTAGTCGCACGTGAGGCGCACGTCGGTCCCCACGAGGGCCACGCGGGGCACGTGCAGCTGCGTCAGGTGGGCACCCCGGCACCCTGCGGGACGGGGGCGGTGCGATTATATTTTAGTTGTTTATTTCGAGGACTAGAAGAGAAGAGATATTATAATAACGGATAAAAATATCTACAGGCACATTGGCACCCTGCGAGACGGGGGGTGTTGCGATTATATTTTAGTTATTACCTTTGAGGACGAGAACAGATGAGATATTATAATAATGGATAAAAATATCTATATTTTTAATTATTAACTTCGATGGCGAGAACAGACAAGATATTATAGTAACGGATACGGACATTTATGCTCAATATTCGAAAGATCTACGAAAAAGTTCCGTCTTCAAACATTTAACAAACGCCTGCAATGATGGAGTCAATGTTACAAAAGCTGGAAGAATGTTCCAGGTTCTGGCGGCGGCGACCGGATAAGCGATGCTACAGACGGTAGAGGAACGTGTGGACGGTACGGCGAGGTCTGTTGATGGTGACTAACGTGGACGTCTTCTAGAAGACCACTCGACATGCGCTGCAGACCCTCCGTGAGATAAGGAGGCACCAGGGGCCATGCTCTCAAAACTCGCTAAGTGAACGTAAGTACTTACGCTCTATTTTCTTGTCTATGATTGGTGGATTTGGCTTGAAAGGCCGTCAATGATTGGCAGGTGAACTTCCGATCTCTTAACTTTTTTTGAAAGTATAGGCCAAGACCTTGAAGGCATCGGAACGTCAGAACAGCGACCTTGAACTGCGTGCGCTGCTGCATGCGCAGCCAATGACAATTGCGTAATATCGGCGTCACGTGGTCGAATTTTCGCATATCGCACACGAGTTACACAGTAGCGTTTATTACGGATTGCAGTTTATTAAGTGCTGTGGTTGGAAAACCGAAGAGTTTGGCAATGCTATAGTCCAAACTGGTCAGAACCAACGCCGCCACGAGACCTCGATGACCGATCTCTAGAGACAGCGACTGTCGCTACAAATTCGTCGCAGAGCGCTAAAACAAGCGGCAGTGACATTTGCGATATGATTGTTTCATAGATAGTTTCGAGTCCACCAGAATGCCGAGGTCGCGAGCGCAATAAGTCTATCCAGCGATCGCCACAACGCTCGCCGTGCGTCGACTCTTTGGTGGCCAAAATGACTCTTTTATATCAAGGAAGGTGGACATAATTGCGCCACGCATCTCGCCACATGGAGGCCACATCAGCCGCAACGGACGCTGGAGCAGTCGGACCCGCCGCTTCTGGACCCGACATTCATCATCGAAACAAGGGTCGGTGACTCGCTGGGATGCCTGAACTGTGCGTGCAGGAATGAGATCATCGAATGAACAGGTTCTCATTTAATTTATTGGTTTAAGATATTTCTACACTCCATTTATTTAAATAATTTCATTCACTTCATTTGTTTCACTCATTTCATTCATTTCGTTCATTCCGTTCATTTCTTTCATTTCGTTACCTTTGTATGGTTCGTTACTTTCGTATGTTTCGTTCATTTCGTTCATTTCGTTACTTTCGTATGTTTTGTTCATTTCGTTCATTTCGCTCATTTCATTCATTTCATTCATACGAACGTCAGCCATGTAACGTATATCAGTTCACTCCTCCATGTCGACCCGCGCAATTTTTCATCATAAATAACTCTTCACAAATAACGCTGCATATTATTGCTCTTCTTCGGAAAACTTAAGGACATAAATAAGTTCTGGTAGTTTCCCCTCAACACCTCTCCTCCCCTCCTCCTTCTCTCCTCCCCTCCTCCTTCTACCCTCTTCCTTTCCCATTCCTCCTCCCCTCCTCCTTCCCTGTTATTTCCCTTTTCCTACCCTCTCCCTTCCCTCCTTTCCCCTCCTCCTCCTCCCACTGCATGGGGAGGAGGAGAGGTGGATGATGCAGGAGGGGTGGAGTAGAGGGTAACACTGAAGAGGGGGAGTGAGAGGGGGGAAGAGGGGGGAAGAAGGGGGGATGAAGGGCCAATGCATAGTAAGGAGCGGCGCGCCCCCCTCATGACTAACAGAGAAGCGACCTTTGAGCCTTGCTTCCCTTCACCATTCCTGCTTCCCTTCACCATTCCTGCTTCCCTTCACCATTCGTGCTTCCCTTCACCATTCCTGCTTTCCTTCACCATTCCTGCTTCCCTTCACCATTCCTGCCTCCCTTCACCATTCGTGCTTTCCTTCACCATTCGTGCTTCCCTTCACCATTCCCGCTTCCCTTAGCCATTCGTGCTTCCCTTCACCATTCCTGCTTCCCTTCACCATTCCTGCTTCCCTTCACCATTCCTGCTTCCCTTCACCATTCCTGCTTCCCTTCACCATTCCTGCTTCCCTTCACCATTCCTGCTTCCCTTCACCGTTCCTGCTTCCCTTCACCATTCCTGCTTCCCTTCACCATTCCTGCCGATAATTTCATCACATATATTCACCCGCGCCTGCATATTCACTCTAGATAGAAATCATGGCTACTTTTTAATCACTTACTTAAATAAAAAATAACATTAAAATCTAATTTCTATCCCCAAATTTAACAATTTTACCCTCTACTTCCTCAAGTTTCACAAAATGGCGACTGAAATTAAAGCAGATAAGTCGGACTATTATTGCCAGGCTACAATTAACAGCGCCGCCGCGTGAATGTTTTCACGAAAACCATTAATGTTTATAGGCCCACCCATGCATATGTGATGGCAATCTGTGCCAGCTCAGGTATTTAGGACTAGTCTGTATTCAGTGAATGATTCATCCCTACCCTCACATTACCCTCACCCTACCCTCACCCTACCCTCACCCTACCCTCACCCTACCCTCACCCTACCCTCAAGGCAACCATCAGTGCAAGTCATTTTGCGCTCACTAGAACGTATCCTTTTTGGGAAGTAGGCGCGTGACAATATTGCTCCGGTTACTCGCGTCAGGAGGTAGTGTTAATAAGAAAGAACTCATGAAGCCTATGTTCAGAGTCACATTAAGTCGCCCTCTGTCTCACTATTGCATCGAATTCTCCATGAATTTAGAATCAAATTAAATCACCCACATCCCATGACCTACATCAGATCACGCATTAAAGCTCCACGGGACGATTTTCATCAAATTATATTATATATTTCATCAAATTCATGTTTGTAATGTAATTTCATCAAACGATGTTTGTAGTGGAACTTAAAAAGTATTCAGTAAACAAACCACCAGACGCCATTGAAACCACTGAGAAGAAAAGCAAGCAACGCTTCCTGCTCACTGAATGTCCCGGCGAGCGTAAATCTTGTCACTCATTTACGCCCTCAAACTTCCCCTCGCCTTCCCTCATCCTTCCCCTTATACATCACCACTTCTCCCCAACTTTAACCTTATTTTCTCTTCAGGAAATTGTCGAGGGAAAGTAAAATTGTTGCGCTGCTGAAAAAACGCTTAGTTATTAATTAATTAAAATAATTTAATCTTATCACCAGCCTCAGCAGCAGAACTATCATCATCACCAGCACCTAATAAACATGGCACAGACACTTGCAGCACTAGCATTTATCACTAGCAATAGCAGCACTAGAACCCTACCTTCACCCTACCCTCACCCTACCCTCAGCCCGTGATTTGTGTCACCATGAATCGCGCTGAGGTCCGTAGTGAGAGTCTGCCGGTGAGGCGAGGCTCGTTATTTCCGCGAGTTTCTTTTAATAAAACTCGTAATGTTCGCGGTGTGAGGGGAGTGAGGGGAGTGAGGGGAGTGAGGGGAGTGAGGGGAGTGAGGGGAGTGAGGGGAGTGAGGGGAGTGTGGAGAGTGAGGGGTATGAGGGAGTGAGGGGAGTGAGAGAGTAAGGGGAATGAGGGAGTGAGGGGAGTGAGGGAGCGAGGGGGGTGAGGGGAGTGAGGGAAGTGAGGGCAGTGCAGGATGTGTAGGATAAGATATATAGCATTAATCTGCCCTTCTGCCTTCCTCAGCAGCCACACTCCCCAGCCACACTCCCCAGCCACACTCCCCAGCCACACTCCCCAGCCCCACTCCCCACTCACACTCCCCAGCCGTGGTAAGGTTGGGGGGTTAAGAGGGGACTGGGCTGGAGGAATGATGGAGGAGAAAAATTGTGAATGTATGTATTAGTTTACACAACCATGCATATATGTATGGGGTATAGGGTGCGTTGTATGAATGACTTATAGAGTATGAATGAGGATAACAAGGATGCGTGGTATGATGATGGATGCATAGATAAGAATGATAATAATGCTGAAGACAACGAAACAGAATTATTAAATGCAACTTCCAAAACCAATGGTGATTCTTTTTCAAGTTTAAGGCGAGTGAATAAAAACTCGCCAGTCCTGATATTGCTTTAAAGTTTGCTTGACGAAGAATCCGCTAAGTTATCAGTAAGTCTGCTAAGTCATTACAGACACAGCTGCTCTGAGTTATCAGTAAGTCTGCTAAGTCATTACAGACACAGCTGCTCTAAGTTATCAGTAAGTCTGCTAAGTCATTACAGACACAGCTGCTCTAAGTCATCACTAAGTCTGCCAAGTCATTAAAGACACATTCATTACTCTGATAATTCCTGTTATTTAGCAGGTTAAGTTAAGTTATTCCTCCTTTTGTATTGGAATATTTCCCTGACTATGGCAATAGATGCAAGAAATTTGGCCACTTAACCCTCTACCGCCTGACATGAGTAACCGGAGCAATATTGTCACGCGCCTACTTCCCAAAAAGGATACGTTCTAGTGAGCGCAAAATGACTTGCACTGATGGTTGCCGCCACGTACGACAACTTTAAAATGTTCTCTGTTGCGTACAAACGTCCTCAGGTTGCTACACTCGATAGCTGTCTCTTATACACATCTAGATGTGTATAAGAGACAGATGTAGGATAAGACTGAGTGATGAGTAAGATATGTAGGATAAGACTTAGTGATGAGTAGGATAAGTAGGATAAGACTGAGTGATGAGTAAGATATGTAGGATAAGACTGAGTGATGAGTAGGATATGTAGGATAAGACTGAGTGATGAGTAAGATATGTAGGATAAGACTGAGTGATGAGTAGGATATGTAGGATAAGACTGAGTGATGAGTAAGATATGTAGGATAAGACTGAGTGATGAGTAGGATATGTAGGATAAGACTGAGTGATGAGTAAGATATGTAGGATAAGACTGAGTGATGAGTAGGATATGTAGGATAAGACTGAGTGATGAGTAAGATATGTAGGATAAGACTGAGTGATGAGTAGGATATGTAGGATAAGACTGAGTGATGAGTAAGATATGTAGGATAAGACTGAGTGATGAGTAGGATATGTAGGATAAGACTGAGTGATGAGTAAGATATGTAGGATAAGACTGAGTGATGAGTAGGATATGTAGGATAAGACTGAGTGATGAGTAAGATATGTAGGATAAGACTGAGTGATGAGTAGGATATGTAGGATAANTCACTTTGTGACAGTACTGTAATCTTTCTGCATCACTTTGTGACAGTACTGTAATCTTTCTGCGTCACTTTGTGACAGTACTGTAATCTTTCTGCATCACTTTGTGACAGTACTGTAATCTTTCTGCGTCACTTTGTGAC